CGGACAGAGGCTTCATCTGTGGCAGGACAAGAAACTCACGGCCCACGTTTATACAAGTTTTTATATGAAGTCAAGTTTGTTTTAAGAATATTTAGTATTATTTGGTATATTTTACACTTATTCATAATTCAGTCTGATGGCTGCTTAAGGTTCTTGGACATGGTTCACTTGTCATCCGAGAGACTTCTGACTGGTTGTTAAATCAGATGTTTGGGGTCACAGCATCTTTAAGCTTCTGTGGCAGTTACATGTCAGAGAAGGTGAAGCTCACATGAGCAATGTAAACAATGAATACTGAGAATGTATTTGTAATATAAAACCAGCCTGTAGTGGTTGATAGTACAAAAGTACACAGAGTAATGTTCACCCCAGTGCATTCACAGACACCAGTAATAATGACATCGTCCCCTCTCAGTTCAACAGGTGGCTTTCTCGGCTGCTCTGACCAATAGTGATGAGACCCTCGGACCCTCGGAGAGAGATGTTACTTTGATCTTCAAACATGTCGTCACTAACATTGGTAACGCCTACAACCCACACACAGGTACTGGGCTCGGATAGTTTAACAGCTTTGACTTCTGTGTTAATGTCCATCTGATGGACAATGAATGTTACACAGGTTTTTTCACTGCACCGGTGCGAGGAGCCTACCACTTCGAGTGGCACATCGGTGATATTGGGGGCCGTTCACCTGCTACAGCTGCTGCACTGGTCAAGAACTCGGAGCGTGTGTTTTCCGCATATGCCAATTTGACACCCAGTCATTTTGAGACTTCTTCTGAGAGCGCTACGCTGCAGCTAGAGGCTGGGGATGTCGTGTCTGTGAATAAGTGGGCTACCAGTGGGATCTATGACAATGTAAATCACCATGTCACCTTCAGTGGTCATCTGCTCTTCACCATGTGACCAGGAAACAGATGTTAAACGTAAAAAGTTCAAATCTTGTGTTTTCTTCTGTATCAGGATCAGACCTGCATTAAAGTGCACATAATGAGAAACAATGTAGGCCTATGGGGTCTCTTTACTTTCTTTTTTCCAGAAGTAGTTTTAATTTGTCTGCTTCTGTCTTTGAGCTTCATCACAGCTCTCTCTGTGGACATTTCTTCACTTTCGCTTCAAATGTACATATCAACACTGTTATGACCGGTGACGCTCTCTCCTTCTCCCTAGTGTCCTGTTCAAATTTTGACAAGTAACTGAGAGAAATACACAAAACTGTTTATAAGCAGTCCCATAACACCGAGCAAACAGGAAACCAATGTTGAAAAAGAAGAACGTAAAAGCACGGCCACAGAGCTCAGTGGAAAAACAAGACCACCACCTCAGGGAGGTAAACGGCACGGAGAGACAGTACAACTCAGCAGTGTCCTGAACTAAAAGGTGAAGGTGAGCATGATATTTTAGCTACTTTGGTATTTTTAGACAACTGAATACGCTGAAAACATCTGTGAAGCTCAGTTGTAAACACAAACCAGAGTCGGTTGTTCCTGAATGTACACTAATGGTCCAAAAGCTTTGCAGGCAGAGATAAGAGATGAATTAAAAGGAATTCCTCCTTGTCTCTCGTAGTCATGAGCCCCTAGGAGAACCTGTTTTAGTTCAGTCTGAATGAACACGAGTGTTTGGCCAGAACAGGCCAAGACCAAAACAGATGTGCCACTGTTTCACAAATTCTTTCCTTGTGTGTCCTCCTTTAAAAAGCCGTCTTGCTACCAAATGGTCTGCAAGATGCACCAGCTTCATATTTACACAGTTCCCAGTCAGAGTCATACACATTTTCGGCCCTGGTCTTTTCCCAGGAAATACTGATAACATGAATGCAGGTAGACACAGAGAGAAAACCCGAGGCCGAGGATTCAGCTCCACAGTGACCTGAAGCAAACAGCGGAGACACTGCAGCGGCTTCAGGACCAGGCTCTGAATGTCCCCGAGGGGCCAGCCCAAGTCCAGACATATAGACCCGTTCCCCGTGCCCCTATTGCTCCATGTTACATGTAGTGGCAGAGATGTCCCGATTCCCTGTAGGATGGAGGAGTAGGGCTGCACAGCCCATTAAACAGATGGGGCTCAGAGCGGTGGTGGAGGAATGACTGAGGCTGTTTACCTAAATAACAATAGCAATACCACAAGGTAAAAACACTATGTTACAAGTCCTACATTGAAAATGTTACTTAAGTAAAAGTACAAAAGTATTAGCATCAAAATATACTTCAAGTACCAGAAGTAAAAGCAGTCATTACATAGAAGGGCCCATTTTACATTGATTATTGATGCATTATTTTTTCATCACTTTAATGTGGAGTGTGGTAGTGGAAACGGGCAGGACCCAATAAAGATGCCTGGAGACCCGGAGTAGCTTCGAAGAATTCTTTATTTCATGCAGCATGGAGAGAAGTCGTACACAACTTAGCAGTCGCGCAGAGTTCTCTATCTGACTGGTAAAAGGGCAGTCCTTTTATACCAAAAGTGATACAATACACATCTATAAAACTCATACCATTGTCTCATATCTAACAACCCACATACCGTCTCCAGCTGTCTCCGCGACCAGACAGCCAATTCACATTTTAACACAGACAAGTCGGCTTGTTTTGCATTCACACACAGACCCACTTAACATATTGCAAGTTCTGCTTTGTCTTGGGATGTCCTGCAGAGACAGAGGCCCGACATCCTGAGATGACCACTTGGCCAGTTTAACATACAAATTAGCATCACACATACACACAGACGCCCGGTGTAGATCACAATCCAGCAGGGAGGTGTCATCTCCTGCTCACCAAAATGATCAGACATCCACATCTCCCCCCTTTTGTCCTATTTTAGGACAATTCCTGTACAATCTGCAACCTATGAAGAACTTAGATAAGTAACATAAGAAATAATAAATGAGAATAAATGACAAACAAAAAAAATAATAAATGAGAATAAATGACAATAAACAAAACTGTGATGCTGTCTTTCTTCTACTTTAAACCATACATCTGTACAGATCAGCCGTTGTGATCTGGAACTTTAAACCTTTGTACTCTCCACTTGAGTAGGCAC